CAGCCTTCTCCTCCACTGCGCCCGTCGCTTTCTCTCCGGTCCTAAGACCTTTTCCTGGAACGCGTCGGTGCAAACCGAAACGGAACGACGTCGCCTCTGAGTCAAAGGGGAACCCCTTCCCTTTCTTCCCTTCCCCGCCAGGGGGGGGGGGGGGGCGGGGGGGGGCCTGGGTCAGATGCGCCGCCCTCCCGGCGTCGCTTCTGCCCCTTCCCTACAGCCTTCTCCTCCACTGCGCCCGTCGCTTTCTCTCCTGTCCTAAAACCTTTTCCTGGGGCCTGAAGCGTGTCGGCACAGGCCGAAACGGAACAACGTCGCCTCTGAGTCAAAGGGAAGTCTTTCCCTTTCTTCCCTTCCCCGCCAGGGGGGGGGGGGGCCGGGGGGGGTAGCGGGGGGGGGCATGGGTCAGATACGCCGCCCTCCCGGCGTCGCTTCTGCCCCATCCCTGCGGCCTTCTCCTCCACTGCGCCCGTCGCTTTCTCTCCTGTCCTAAAACCTTTTCCTGCGGCGTCTGATGCCGTCTCAAACCCCTCTCAGACATCTGTCCCTGCTCCTCCTCCATCGTTTTCGTCGTCCACGCCTGCTCCATCCTCTTCCTCCTCCTCCCCCTTCTCTCCCTTTTCCATTTCTCCTTCTCCTCCTCTTCCTCCTCCTCTTGCTCCTCCTCCCCCTTTTCCTCCTCCTTCTCCTCCTCCTCCTCTTCCTCCTGCCCCCTCCCCCCCCCTTTTGCCGTCGAGAGTCGATGCCTCCTGGGTCGGCGGCGCAGGCCGCAAGGCCCGCGCAACAACATGTGCTACTTCGAGCAATGCCAACAGCGATGGTGGACATCGATCTATTGGTCGTATTTCTCAGGGGCCCACTACACTGATCCCCCCCAGAAAGCGCGCCCCCCCCCCCCCCCCCCCTCCTGGGGCGACCACGTGCGTGTGTATATATATATTATATATATATATATATATATATATAATATATATATATATAGCTCGCCCCCCCCCCCCCCCCCCCCCCAAGATCTGCACTTTCGTGCCCTGTTCATGTCTTCAACTCATCTCTTCCTCATCCTCTTCTTTGCCCCCCATTGCCCCCCGCTCCCAGGTGGCGAATTGTTCCAGTCAGATACGGGGCGACACGATTCAAGGGGCGACGTGCTCCAGATCGCGCAGGGGCGAGCTGCTCCATCCAGAGACGGGGCGATTGGCTCCAAGGGGCGAGATGCTCCAGATACGTAGGGGCGAATTGCCCCATCCAGAGACGGTGCGAAATGCTCCACCCAGAGACGGGGCGAACGGCTCCAAGGGGCGAAACGCTCCAGATACATAAGGGCGAACTGCTCCATCCAGAGACGGGGCAAAATGCTCCATCCAGAGACGGGGCGACAGGCTCCAAGGGGCGAAACGCTCCACATACATAGGGGCGAACGGCTCCATCCACAGACGGGGCGAAATGCTCCATCCAGAGACGGGGCGAAAGTCTCCAAGGGGCGAAGCGCTCCAGATCACACAGGAGCGAAATTCCCTAGTTCTGTGTTGCATTGCGTTGGATTGCATTTGCATTGTTGCAATAGAATGCATTCCAGTACAATGCGTGCATTCTCGACCCTCCCTTCCTCATCAATCGCCTCCTCCTCCTCCTCCTTCTCCTCCTCCTCCTTCCTCCTCCTCCTCGCCCCCCCCTCCCCCTCCCCGTCCTCCTCCGCTTATTTTTCCTCCTCCTCCTCTCCCTCCTCCTCCCCCTCCTCCTCCTTCTCCTCCTCCTCCTCATCCCCCTCCCCCCTCCGTCTCCTCCTCGTCGTCGTCCTCCTCCTGTACTTCCTCCTCCATCCCATCCTCCTCCTCATTCTCCTCTTCCTGCTCCCCCTCCTCTTCCCTCCTCCTCCTCGTCCTCCCCCTCCTCCTCCTCCTTCCCCTCCCCCCCTCCTCCTGCCCCTCCTGTTCCTCCTCCGTCTTCCCGTCTTCCCCCCCGCGCTTCTTCTCCCTCGCCCTCACTCGCTTTCGACGCAACTTTTTCTTCATGTTGCAGCGCGTTCTGGCCCGAGCCTGCTTCGACGCAGAACTCGCGACGCAGCTTCCACGAACCCTCGCGGCAGCAATGCCGATGATGCTCCGCCTCGCCTCCTGGCGCGCCGCCAAGGCGCAGCGCCCGCTCCTCAACGAGCCCAGCGCCGACATGACGGCGGCGGCGGCTAATTGGGGCGTCGCGCGCGACGGGGTAAGCGGAGTCGCGCCCCGCTTCAACCCTGAGGACCTCTCGTGGGACCTCCGGAACTGCCTCCGCTTCTTACTCCGCCAGCGGTTCCACTGGGCGGGCGACAAGCAAGAGTTCGACGCCCAGGTGGTCCGCGAGATCGGCGGCGACGCGCGGGGCATGGCCACGGACGCTCCTGCGGCGTGGGCGGCGAGGCCCGAGCAAACAGGAACAATAACATATGCACACACCAAACGACAAACAAAACAGTTACGTAAACCACAGCAACATAAACCACGAGGCTCTTGCAGCTCGCCAT